TTAAGAGTGATTGAAATACAGATTCATCTAGATAGCACCTGGGATTAAATCCAGGTCACAAGGAAACTGGTTGAAGAGCTAGGGGTGGTAGCTGGGAGTCTGGGGCAGGCAGTAACCATCTTCAAATAGGGAAAGGGCTCCTGTGGAGGCAGAACTGGAGCGCAGGGGCAGAAGCAGCAGGGGAGGAGTTTTGGTTGATCACATAAGAAAATGTCAGTCATTCCAGGGTGGATGCTGAGACTCCCCTGTCACCTGATAACTGCCCTGGGGGCCAGGGATGGCTGCAGTGAGGCCACAGGGGGCTGGCGTAGGGCTCCCTAACTGATCTCATCGACTAGTCTCTCTTTCTAGCAAGGCTGAGGAAGAGGAAGTGCTGTCAGTAAAGGTTTATTTTTTTTCACTTACATTTTCTTACATTTTTTGTACTAATTTTTCTATTGTTCCAATTTCCCTATTAGTTACTTGTTTGAACATTTTTTGATATTTGCAATGATCTTCAATTATATATATTATTATAAGAAAAGTAGCAAAATCCTACCTAATAAAGAGTTACTATGCAAACTGACCATCACTTCAACACACAAGATGGCCACCCCACATGTGGACACAAGATGGCCGGCAGGGGAAGGCAGCTGTGGGCAATCAGACCAGCAGGGGAGGGCAGTTGGGGGCAACCAGGCCGGCAGAGGAGGGCAGTTGGGGGGGACCAGCCCTGCAGCGGAGGGCAGGTGGATATCCCTCAAGGGGTCCCAGATTGGAAAGGGTGCAGGCTGGGCTGAGGGACAAACCCCCCGCATGAATTTCGTGCACCGGGCCTCTATATTATATAAGAAAAGAGCCACATTTAGTATTAAGTAGGTAACTGAAATTACTACATCTGCTGTCTTTAGATGCCGACATCTTTTCCTTTATACAAAATTAATTCAAAGTAAAAAAATTAACTCAAAAGCATAAAATGATACAACTTTTAGAACATAACCTAGAAGAAAATCTCCAATACCTTTGTTTACTGAAGAGCGCTTAGTCATAACAGTGAAAGCATGATCCTAAAAGAAAAACATGGCAAGTTGAACTTCATCAAATGAAAGATTTTGCTTTGTGAAGGACCCTGGTTAAGGAATGAAAAGAATAAGCTATGGACCAGGAGAAAATATTTGCAAACTACGTATCTGATGAAGGACTCATATCAAAAAAACAGATATAGGGGAAACTAAGATGGCGGCATAGGTAAACACTGGGAAATTGCTGCCTCCCACAACAACTTCAAAAATACAACGAAAAGACAAAACGGACATCATCCAGAACTACAGGAAGGCTGGCTGAGTGGAAATTCTACAACTAGAAGGAAAGAAAAGCACACTGAGAGCCAGAGGAGCTTCGGAAGTAAAGTGTAGAGGTACGGAGGCTCACGCGCGCACGGAAAGGGGCTGGCACCCGAGGACGCGGCTGTCTTTTTGAATCGGGAGGGAGTCACAAGCTCCCGACTGCTCTGAACTCTGGTTCCAGGAAGTCTCTGGCGACCCAGGACTCATACGGGGAGAAACTGGAATGTCTGGCAGCAGGCAGAACTCTGAACTTGAGGGCCGCTTTCCCTCAGAGGTGCTTGCAGCAATTATTGGGACACTGAGACGCGAGAATCCTTAGGGCAGGGCTGAGGCTCCATCATAGCTGCTTGCTCTGCCCTTTGATTCCCTGATAGAGGTACGGAGGCTCACGCGCGCACGGAAAGGGGCTGGCACCCGAGGACGCGGCTGTCTTTTTGAATCGGGAGGGAGTCACAAGCTCCCGACTGCTCTGAACTCTGGTTCCAGGAAGTCTCTGGCGACCCAGGACTCATACGGGGAGAAACTGGAATGTCTGGCAGCAGGCAGAACTCTGAACTTGAGGGCCGCTTTCCCTCAGAGGTGCTTGCAGCAATTATTGGGACACTGAGACGCGAGAATCCTTAGGGCAGGGCTGAGGCTCCATCATAGCTGCTTGCTCTGCCCTTTGATTCCCTGAGACCCCGCCCCCCCCAGGCTTCGGCAGAGGCTTTTGTATATGAATGCCCTGGCCCTTTGCAACCTGAAAATTACCTAACAAACTGCAGCTGGGCCAGAAAGACTCAGAACTTCCAAGAAAAGGCCAAGGCCCCATAGCAGCTTGCATTGTTTCACAGCTGGGCCTCATCAGGGCACCTCCAAACTCCAAAAAAGGAAGGGGAATCTGCAGTTCTCTGCATAGCTCCTGCTGGGTAACCTCAGGGAGAGGCTAAATTAGCACCTCCTTCGATCCAAGAACCAGTGTACCCAGTTGTCAGAGGGGGACCATGTGGACTACCACTCCTCAGATCCATAAGGGACACACTCAGGGGGCAGACTCAGTGAGCACCAAAGCCCCACTGAAGCAAGTCTTGCCCCAGAAGGGTGTCTTCAGCACAGAAGTTCTCCCACTGCAGACACAGCTGATTCTCACTGCCAATTGGCCTGGAGGTCAATTCCT